CCCCAAAACCCCAAAACCCCAAAACCCCAAATTACAATGAAGAAATTAGCACTTTAGAGTCGTAATAAATTATAAAATAAATATAAATTAATTATACATTGACAATCAATGAAAAACAGTAGATCTTATTTAGATGATGATGAAGAGATTAAATCTATGACTGAATCAAGAATGAGTAAAAGTGATCAGAAAGGAGGTGGATCAGAAGATGGAAGTAGTGAAGATGAAGAAGTAGATATCTCTATTAAGCAGTAGGAGCTGATTGTAAATAAAAATTGATCAATCTAAACTAGTATTAGTTTAATCCAGAAAGTAGTCTAAGATAATGGCTAAAAAAGCGTGGTAAAAATGAATTTATTGACTTTGATGACGAAGAATTAAGATAGCTTAGAGACTATTTCAATTCACTAGATGATGATGGCTCAGGATCCATTGGAGTAGATGAACTGGAAGGCCCATTAATAGCTCTAGGACTGGTTGAGAATAGATAGCAAGTTTAGGATATTGTTGATTTGGTTGATGAAGATGGCTCTAGTATGATTGAGTTTGGGGAGTTTCTTTCAATTATCAAAGGAGGAAGCAATGCTGTAATACTTAAAATTTGATATAAACCTTTTAGAAAGAAGGAAATGATGTCAGTGGGACTGGAGCAATATATCAATTCTTTAAAAAGTTAACCAGTGGACAACTCAAGCTTGAGGAGAATCCCAATATCCCATTTCAGTTGTTCATTAGTGGGTACCGAAGGAGAAAAATTCTAGATGCAATGATGAATAAAGATAAAAACAAAAAGGATGAGGGTGATAAAATTCTTAATAACTATAAAAAATAAATAACTGAAAGGACTGCAAGGGAGAAAGTAGACAAGGGAGAAGCAAGTGGGAAGACTACAGCTAATTTAACTTAGAAATTTGGCAAAAGAGATTCTGCCTCTAAGAATAATAGTGTGTTTGACTTTGGAATAACTTCATAAAATAATAATCAACAACTTGAATCTTTCGAGCCAGAAATTCTATTAGACATTTTAAATGGGAAATTTAAGAAAAAATGAATTAGTTTAAGACTTGAAGGGGTAATCATTGATTAGACTTAATAATAAGATTATATTGATACTTATAGCAAAATATTTATTTAATTAAGATTTAAAAGTATTTATTTAGCTCTTTAAAGTTTCATCTCATAATTAACTGAATATTAGTCCAAGAGGTATAAAGTATGTTTTCAAAACAATTCTCTGTATTTGGATTATTAGCAAACATGTAGTAAGTATAGTTGTACGATTATTTTATGTATTTCTAAACATTAAGATCTTAAATTCCTGGTCCGCAACTTACCATTGCAAATATAGATAATTCTCTGTTGTCACCTCTTTCCATCGTATGACATTTAGGAGATTTGGCCTCAATAATAGCATAATTAAGGTTCATATTTTATTTCTCAAGGGTATAATCCAAAGGACAATATCCTATATTCTCGCTAGAGCAATAACAATTAGCTGAGCCAAGTGTTTACAATAAGTCATCTCTATATGTACATCGTTGTGTCAAGTTTGAATCACATTAATAAGGATATTGCAAGGGTAGAGATATAATTTGAGAGACTGATGCTGCATAGCCTTAGCACAAGAGATTTGAATCAGCATTCCCACTTATACACTATCAAGTTACAATAGCCTTATTATTTTAAGAAATAGTGTGTAATTTTTCGCATGTTCCCGACGTGAAAGATCTTGCACAAATAAAGCCTAGCTAGCAATCGTATGTTGATTAACATGATTATTAAAGCCCTTTCAGAGGTTGACATGTTAAAGTTAAAATATCACAAAACAGTCCAATATCACATTGAGAATGATGTGAACATTTAGTATACTAAACCTAACCTCTACAAAAGTTTTCTAAACAAAGTAATGATAGACATTACCCATTTTGAGTGCATTTTCAACCTGGAAGAAATTAAGAAGTCTAACCAATAAATCCTCCTAGATCTAATTGGTTTTTCAAAATTTAGCTAGAATATTTTAGTTGATAGGTTGAAATACACTAATTTGATGAAATATGATGTGAGGCTAGCTTGTTGATATCTTTAGATGATATTTCACTCAAATATTCAAATTAATTAGCCAGACATAGCTTCCTATCATTTGAGCATCTTTTGTAAGAAATGATGACTTCCTTGGTATTGTCCTGCTTTGTTATAACCTAAGATTTCAGACAAGTTCCATCATTAGATTCTTGATCAGTCAGTTCTCAGCATTTTACTTTGGTGCACATTTATTCTAGACTAAATCCTGCTTTAAGGAGTATAATGAATGAAAGAATAAAAAATCTATTATAACTCATTTTGAATATGACTTTTATATAATTAAAATTGCATAAATTTTATTGTTATACATTTCTCTTGGGGTTTTGGGGTTTTGGGGTTTTGGGG